TTAAAAAATAAATTTCATTTTATGAGTTAAATTACAATTGCTCGTTTAAAAAAGTCTTGATATATAAACTATATTGCGTTGCATGTACATGACCCTATTTTTTTATATTAATATCTTCCTTTGGTATATGTATAGAACTATGAATGTAATTATTATTACTAATATTACAGCAATAATATCTATAAAACAGCAGCTCTTAAACATATTATTTTACGAATTAGCAAGGTTCAACCAGGGAATGGAGAGTTATCTTTTAAATGTAATAATGATTTTTAGAAGTAACACAACCGTTACTTAAAAAGTAATTATTCGTTACTTTTCCGTTACTTTTTTAAAATCAGTTTAAAATAAGTGCTAAAATAAAATTAAAAAATGTACTTTTGCAATATTTTTTGTTTAAATTGTTAATAAAAGCAATACACAACAATAATACTAGCTTTATTTTTTAGTTTTTTTCTTAAAGACGTAATTTTGTAATCGAAAATCGGTAAAAAATATGCAGCAAACTAGAGATATCTATCTGATATATTGCATAAAAATGTAAAATAATTCTTGAAATAATAATATATTTCTCAGCTGTCAAAAGTCGCTGCAGACGCGCTGCAACAGTCGACAGCTAAATATTTCAGGAATTATTTATTACTTTTACGTGACGTAGATATCAGACAGATATCCCAGTTAACCACATATTTTTCAGGTTTCAAGATTACGAAATTATTATGTTTTTAAGAAAAAGCTAAAAAATGAAGTTTTACATAGCAAGTAATTTGTTGTATGTAATTTCCCTCTCATATTGTCGCGAGAGAGCTAAGCTTTAATATTTGAGTGAATACATATCTAATTCTACAATTTATACATCAATTAAATTTTCAATCTTGAAACGATATTCGGCTGATATTTTTCACAATAAATTTTTCACAGTACTTTAAGTTGCTTATCAACGTAAATATATCATTAAATTACTTATCAATTTAATTTATTATATTACTATTCTAATTTTAATTAGGATTGCGTTTTAAGTCAGAAAATGTAATTGACGCGCAATTTGAATAATTTGATGTGCATACAAATTCATTCTAATGAATAAAACATATTATTATATTACGCACGAAGATCAAGCTCGGATCAAGATTTCTCTTTTCAAAAACAGTAAGTTATATAGCTTAAATTTAATAATAAATAAATCACAGAGACGTATTAATATCTTAAGACGTTAAAAACACGATAATCAGTAAATTTTCTGATATCTTTTGAAGATAATACCCATAAAAGCCTAAAAAACGTTATCTTAAGACATTAAAAGAGACTCGAAATTAAAATAAATTATGAATACTATCTAAAGATTGAATAAGCAAAAATTATGTCATAAATACATAGGTTCAAAATACAAAAAGTTCCCAAAAAAAGTACCTTGTAACTGTAAAAGCTCTATGGCACATAGAAAAACTTAAAATGTAAGACTTAAGTAGTAAGGAAATCAACATGTTGGATTCGCTACTGCTTACGTATGGTCTTACGGTCTCTACTATGATTGGTCAATTCGCTTACTGCTTAAGTCTTACGTCTTAAGTTTTTCTATATGCCATACCCTTTAATTTGTTACAATTCGTAACGAATTCCATTCCCTGAGTTCAACCTATGTGTCAAGCTTTTAATAGTGGAATCTTCCACCGTAGGAGGAGGGGGAGGGGGGCAAAATCCACTGCGTCCACACATACGTTTTACAACGCAAAACGAGGTTCCATATAGATTTATACAGGTTTATACTATATCTGCATAAGGCATGCAAATATGCCAACAATGCAATATTGACATATAAAATAAAATTGAATTTTTTTGTTAATAATGACTGAAACTTCTTGGAGATCACTCAAAAGAGTGTCCTTGAGAATATATGTTAAGATCAAGATCATCAGAGGTGCCCCCCTTAAAGACAGCATTTACATTATTCATGCAATTCAACATTATTAAAAGCTTCTATGGAATATAAACATTAAAGAGTTTATTTTTAGTTTATAGGAACACAGTTAAGACAATGCTATAATATTTTTAGAAGCAAAGTATGTAGATCTATTTAAATATTTTGAATTTAAAAAATTCATGAAAAATATATTCAATAAAAAATTATTAACATATTGATATCTTGTCCTTTCTATAGAAAAACAGTACAAAACATAATGTAAATTTAGATTACGTAAAATTTTTCGCAAAATTTTTTGTGGTTACGTGATATTAAAATATCACGTATCAGTTTGCATTTAGCATGAACTACCTTACTGAAGGCGCGTGCCTTCAATATGTCGCAAGATATATTCTAAAATTTATTGTGTGTACAATAATCTTTAGATGGTTATAAAAGACACGCTTTAGAACAATAAGCTTGACGTAGTATTGTTATTGATGTAAATGACGCAGGGTTAAACGACCATGGGAGAGTCTGGACAGACGGCAGTGTCATTTTGATTAAGAACGCGTGCAGACGAAGCGCATAACCGCGGTGTCACATAAACGGAAATGACGTTGTAGTACAGCTGCATATGCATATATTAAACAATCACGAAGGCCGTGATCGTGAAAATACAATATTCTCAATCTTATTCATATTGTGCTTCAGTTCTTTAAATCGGTCGATGAATCGTATAAAACTGCACGATCAGATAATTAAACCGATTACATTGTTCGACAAAAAAATATAAAAACTAGTTATTTTCTGAAGTTTTTTGGATGCCGAATATAAATACGTTTTCCAAATTGTTCTATATATCAATATTTTGAGAAATTTGCAATTAAAAGTTGCAAAAAGATTATTTTCATGTATTTTGTCATATTAACTACGTGTGTGACATGCTGGAGAAGTTTTATTGAAATTTAAGTTAAAAGTATGTTGTTAGGACTTTTAGCTTTCAAAAGTATTTCTTTAATGTAGACTATGATTATTAAGATATTCATGATTAAATTTATTACAGAAAAGTTGTGAATTAGGCCGCTGACAATTATAAAATAAATTTTAATTATGTTAATTTAAACTTAAAAGTTATTAGCCGCTAAATACTGAAATCCAATGTTAAAATTAACAAATTCAAAACCAAATTAAAAGTCTTCTATAAATTTTTGCAACAATTCGGACAGTTTTTATGTTTTGACATCCACCATATTAAATCCATCGTTTTGAATTCATCAGTTTTGACTGAATTCGTATTCTAAGTAGAATTACAATTCAGGAAAAGATAAAACTTGAAGAATATTTTATGGTTTCACTGTGCTATCTAGATATATAGCATTCAAATTTAAAACATTACTCATGATATAAAATCCGGACGGATGGCATGCGACATTCGAATTCTCAGTACTTGAAATGATTTTCCTTTCGAGAGATGAACAACGCCACTGCTTCACGTGCGATCTGCCCAGATTTCGCAACACGGGATCGGTGGTCGTGCAAGAAGTTAACGCTCATCTCACCAAAGATTCGCCTCCTCGATCCTCCCGATATTCGCTGATGTAGACTCTCGGTAACCCAATAGCTGCCATGGGATCCTGCGTCCTCACCATCCGCCTTCGGCTCGTACCGCAACGTAAGTGAAGTCCGCAGGGGCACCCCGAGGCTCTATGAGATCATCTCACGCCCTGATTGACTTAATTTCGATTCTCGCAACCCAGTAAATCGCATGGGTACATGATAGTCGCATTGGTCCAATTTACCAGGCAGATTATTATTTTAGCAGCCAGATCTCCGCTCTCACGCAAGACGGATCATGACAACTCCTCGCACAATCTTAAGCTCGACGAGCCCGTTACTTGCTAAAGTGGGCTGCCTGTTTTTGCGATGCCAATTTTGTGGCAGTCCGGTCCAGATTCCGCTTTCCTCAAAGAGAGTCTTCTGGATACTCGGCACCATCTTCATTACAGCGTTGTCAAAATGTCGATAGTCCAAGGTACAATTAGTAAGCGCAAGAGAAAAATAATAAGAAATATACGATCTGCATCTTCCACCCCTGGAAGTGCACGGGACCTTCTCGGCGATGTCCTCCTTGAATCAGTTTCCTCTTCAACGGTGAAACGGCAGCACATAAGTCAAGGTCGCCGGGTGGCCACCGATCTTCACACATTTTATTCGGCTAATGTGATATCTCATAAAAGTTACAGTTTGACAAAAAAAATTAATCAGCACTCGATTTTTGCGTCCGCACGCATTTGCACTCGCTCTATCTAGCTGGGAGAACGCAGGATTTGACTTATCCGCAAACTAGTGATGGACGAAAAACGTCATATTACAGTAAATTGTTACAATAAACACGCTGTGTTGTTTTAATTTTCTTAAGAGGATTTTAAAGTAAAGCCCGAACTCCACACACATAACTTTTCGTAAAACAATAGCAAGTAGATTGCAAAGCTTTTATATATGAAGCAAATATTATTACGATATTGACAGCTCTGATGCCATATTGGACTAAGAAAAAAAATCTCAATTTAAACAATTTTTTTTTCATTTTCGGTATAAACACCATCTCACAGACACGTATTAATGATGTGTATATTTTAATCTTGGAAAAGGATTTTCGAGTCTGTAAAAGAGGAAAAAGTAATCGTCATACAAAAATTATTGCATTTAGTCGGAAAAACAAACGACTTTAGGATTCCTTTAATTTTAAAACTTCCCTTTAATTTAATACTATATTCATCTATACTTTTCGATAAGTATGTTATTTTTTATTATATTAATTTTATTGCACATATATAGTATACTATATGTATACATTAAAATGAAATTAAAAGAATTTTAGGAAAATGGAGATAAATATTGCAATTAATTTGTTATATTTGCAAATTATTAATTTCAAAAAGTACTCTCTAGAAATTGAACACATGTATTTTATAATTTAATATTTTAATTAATACCGTTTAGTTAGACTAACGTAATTAAAATAATAATAATACTTTTTGTAAAAATATTTTAGATGAATTTTTATATAAAAGATTTTTCAATATTCTAATTTCAGTAAGACCTTAAAATGGCTTCGAGATCAGAAGATCCAGAAATTACAGAATCCAGAGGAAAAGAGAGAAACACAGGGTAAGTTATTGATATTAGTTCTACAATTTGTAAACAATTGTAACGCAACATCTCATGAAATATTTTTTTGTAAATTTAGGAAAAGTGACGGGTTTGGCAGATTATTGATAAAGTTTCTAGCCATTTATTGGCGATCTTTCATTGTGATATTATGGCCATTAATCCTAATTCCAATATTGATTCTCGAAAGTGAAAAAGTATGTTTTTTTTCTTATATTCATATTATATATAAAAATTAAATAAATAGAATATATATTTAAATTTAAAGAAACGTTAGAAACAAAAAAAGTGTATTAATAATTTATACATCATAAAACTCCTTTTTTCTAACAACAGCCATATTAAATTAATTTCTTCATACATTACCACGCATGTTCAATAAAGTGCTGAAATATATGAAAATATTTTTTCAGTTCATGAATTAACAAACAAATATAAATAATTTTACATTTACGATTCATTGTGAGATACGTTTTTGTTAAAATGTAAATTGAGTTATATGAGAGTTTATTAAGAATAATAAAAAAAGTTTTCGATAGTAGAATATACGGACACTAATTTATTTTAATGCATTTATTTACAATATAGAAAAAGATTTCGTAATTTTTTGTTCCAAACATCGCATAATTTAACATGGTTGTATAGTGAGAGAATAAAGAGTTGCATATATGCCGATTTATAAGTTTCACATTGAAAGTTGAAAAAATTAAAAAATCGTTCTTTCTTCTTGCCGATGTAGCCTGTCGCAATGAAATGTTTATACATCATCGCGTTAATGGCGATGTTCTGGGTGACAGAGGTCTTGCCATTGCCCATCACAGGTATGATTCCGGTGGTCTTATACCCGCTAATGGGTATTATGTCTACCAATGAGACTTGTTTATGCTACATGAACGATACCACAATGATGTTTCTGGGCAGTTTGGTAATCGCTGTGGTTATTGAAAACTCCGGCTTGCACATGCGAATGGCATTACTCATCATCAGAATTATTGGCTGCAGTCATCGAAGGTGTTTTAAATACGTTCTATATCATTGTGTTACGTCAGAAGATATTTCTAATGTTTTTATTTGTAACACCTTGTCTAATGACATCATAGAGTTTTCAAATATTATATAATAGAATATTATTTGCATTGTTGCGATTCGTAATACAGGATGGGCCAAAACACATCGAAAATCGCTCTAAATAAATCGAAATGATAAGATGAATAAGACTATCGTTTTTTAGAAAAAGTAAAATTATTACAAGATTCTAAAGAAATAAATTGTATGATAAAGGAAGCCAAAAACGTCCAGGTAATAATTGATCTATGCGTTTTTATCGATAGCAAGTACAATATTGTTAACGTGTCTGAAATGAAACAACGGAATAAACGAGAAATTGCTTAAAGAATGTAATTCAAGATCTTGTAATAATATCCGCAACAATAGAAGATAAGGAGAAGTCCATTGGAATTCCAATGTACATTATTGTATTGTGTGCGGAAAATTGTATCTTGAACATTAAGAGAGTTGTTAACGTTTTTGAAAAGAAGAACATTCACGAACTTTTTATCTCAGTTGACTTGCGTATTCAATTTTATTCAACTGCGTTCAACGTTTGAAACGTATGTAATTTCTCTGCGACAAATCACGTTGTCGAAATGTCTAAGTTATTGTTAATATTTAATAAATAATTTATTAATTTATTGTATACACGCATATTCAGTGTCGACTTTTATTAGCTTCTTTTAGAAAAAGAATTTTTAAATGTAATTACGTATGCGTGCTACTATAAATATTCAACTTTGCTACAGATGTTCTGTGTAGTTTACTTTCAGAAATAACTAATTCAATTATAGTTAACTCTTAAAATAAACGAGTAAATTTGTTTGAGACAAAGGAAAATTTTGTATTTTACAAGTATTTTTTTTTTTATTTAATTGAGTCTCCCTGTATACTAAAACGATCAACATTTTCAATAATGCTGTTTTATTATACAGTAGCCCGAAAGTTACCACGACACCGTGGTTCCTTTATGTTCAGCCGCCTAATCGCCGGGCAGCGGAATTATACTGAATTAAATTAACACGTTACGTGCTACGCCAGCGTCCGGTATCATGTAATTCAATAATAGCGACCGGTTACTAAGTATCGGAAGTGCAAGAAATTATAAGATAACGTGTCTTTCAGTAATATTTAAATAATATTAATGTAGCCATGGGAATCAATAGTAATTAAATTATCGTAACGGGAAAATTAATTTGTAAAAAGGGAAATAATTGAAATAAAGTGTTAAAGTTACAAGGGAATAATTGAAATAACGTGTTGAAGTTAAGGGGGAATAATTAAAATAAAGTGTTAAATTTTTATGGAAATGAGTGTCTCTTCAAAGCTCTTTGTATTCGTCTTCTATTAGCGCATCTCGTGGGTGCCTAATCATTTAGGCAGAACAAACTCAAAAAATTTCATTTGTTATACACCAAAAGACACAACATGCAGGTGATTTAACAACGTTTGTCTTCAATATTTTATATTCCTGACTTAATTCTGAGATATTTATTTGAAATATTCTTATTTGAGAAACAGTATTTATAAGACAATTTTTCTGCGGAGCACATGAAAATCAGAACGTGAAATTAAGTCAAGAATATGACATTCTATCCGTTTATTTTGAATCACCCTATATATAAAATTATATTTTGCGAATTAAATTAAAATAGATTGTTTCTAACGTATTTTTTTTCTGTCCTTTCATTCCTGAAAAAAATATTTGTTTCTTTTAGTTGTAATTTTAGTTGTAAAACTCATAATCTTTTTTCTCGAAAACAAAGCTTTATTAAAAAGAACTCAATCTATCATTTCGACTTGTTTCGAGCGACTTGTTGTGCTTTTCTTTTCTTGAATCACAATTCAATATATAACTGGCTTTTTAATCGCGAAATAGTAGTAAATATTTTGACACTAAAAATATTCGTGTTAAAATATTTATTACTATGTCATTCTTATTATTCCTGATCTTAAAATACAATCCAAATACCATACACGTACATACTAGTATCTTTCCTCATTTCACGATTTTGACGAAAAATGCCAGACCACTTGTATAGCCAGACTCTGATTAGAGTCTCTAGTTATGTCTACATATTCATCTTTTTCTTATTTTTTCAATTAAAAATTTCTTTTTTCGATTTATTTTATTCTCAGATTAACATTAGGTTTATTTTTCGTAACGATGTTCATTTCAATGTGGATTTCAAACACTGCCGCTACAGCCATGATGATACCGATAATGGAAACTGTTCTCATGGAGCTTGAATCGGTGAGTTTCCACCTTTTTCGAAATCTTGACTATAAGACGCGAAAAAAAAATGTTTTAAATTTATTTATCTCAGCAAGGACTTGGAAACATGTTCGTACAAAAGGATGGAGTGGCCGAAGAGGAAGGCAGGGAAATGTAATTATTTATTGTTATACACATGTACGCGCGCGCGCACACACACACACATGTTTCATTTTTTATTTTCTAGATATTTAATTTTTAAATACAGGATGATGCATTCAATATAGTCAATTTTCTCCAAAATTTAATGATACGAAAAAATATTTCGGATAAAAGTGAAACTTATCTTTCAGTGTATATTAATATTTACTCTCTATTAATTAAACTTAAATATTATACTAAATTCCACACAAGTTCATCTATTCTATTTGTTCGATCATAATACACATTTACGGTGCTAATTTTTCTTTCTTTTTTTTTAAAGCAAAAGGCCAACGCATAGTACAATGGTATATTATCTCGTCGCGGCTTACGCATCTACTCTCGGTGGTACCGGCACTATTGTGGGAAGCGGTACCAATTTAACATTAAAGGGATTTTTAGAAAAGTATGTGCTTATAGTAAACACCAAATTTTATGTTAAATGTGTTATTTTGAATGTCATAAAGTAATAAGATATCTCAAGACATTTATAATATGTATATTAAAAAATTATGACATAAAATAGATATTCATATTTACAAGTTAATTTTATAAATTTTTAATTCCAGTGTGACATATTTAATTTTTTTCGATACTTATTATTTAGGAGAAATAATAATAACAATTATAAAGTTTACTTTCATTTCTAGGCGTTTTCCCAACAGTCCCGGTATAAATTTCGCCTCTTGGATGTTATATTCGGTGCCACCCATGCTGTTAATGGGTTTGCTCACATGGTTGTGGCTGCAGGTGATGTACATGGGTCTTTTTAGACCAGAAAGCAAAGATGCTCGTGCGATAGATATTGGACAACAAGGCGAGCGTATTGCAGCGGGAGTTATTGAGAAAAGGTACAAAGAACTTGGACCGATCTCGTGGCATGAGTTCTCCGTGGGTGTCTTATTTATTTTTGTGGTGCTCTTATGGTTCTTTAGAAGCCCTGGTTTTATGCCGGGCTGGGCTGCTTATGTTACGAACTTGTGAGTATTGATACAAATCAATATCATAAAATATGCATTTTCCATTTCAAAATGAAACTTCATTATGACCGGTATTCATAATCAGATCTTATATTCAAGACCATCTTAAGTACGGTCTTAAGAAGTCACGAACCAATCAGAGGGCTGCATTAGCGTCTTAAGACATTACTTAAGACGGTCTTGAAATAAGAATCGACTATGAATACCGGCCTATGAGTTATCATGAAAATAATCAAAAAATAAGAAAAAAATAACAAAAACTAATTTTACATTATACTTTTGTAATCCATAATTTCGGTCAAATTATAAATATAATTTTCTTAAACTCATAATTTTTTAGTTTAATAAAATATACGTCTAGACGTAATCCAAAATATAATCAAAATAATGAAAAATTAAAATATGTAGAAAAAAATTATAAAATAATAAATTAAAGCAAATATAAAACAATCGGAATTTTTATGTTCATAGGTCTGTTAAGGATTCGACAGCAGCCGCATGTGTAACGATACTGTTTTTTATTATTCCGTCGAAATTGGACTTTTTATATGCATTCAGTAAAGATCCGCGTAAACGACCCACAAAAGCATCGCTTAGTTTAATAACTTGGAAAATGATAAACGAGAAAATGCATTGGAGTCTAATATTCGTGTTAGGTGGTGGGTTTGCCATCTCAGCAGGTAGCACTTCATCAGGTCTGTCAGAAATGCTCGGTCACTATCTAATAGGTTTACAAAAGATTAACGTGGTAGCAATAATGCTGATTGTCTGCTTCTTTGCCGAGAACGTAACGGAATTAACAGCTAACGTGGCCGTTGCGAATATTATACTGCCAGTATTAGCGGAGATGGTGAGTATAGCGAAATTAACGATAAATTTTTATGTAACAGAGATCAATTAATGATAATTTAGGAGATATTTTATTCTAACATATTTTAATATAAAAGTGTAAAAAATCTCATTATAATATAACATTATTTTTAATATTTTAATTCGCAGGATTATAAAATGGATTAATTAAAGTGGAAAAAAAACTATTTGCATTTTAAAAAGTATGCAATTTAGATTGTGTAATTTACATTGTATTTCTTAATTTATAATTTCCTTTATAAATTAAGAAATATAATGCATGTATTTTTATTTGAATCATTTTTAAACATAAGAGATTTATTTAAATCATTTTAAATAAGAGACAATATATATTTTTGATATATTAAAATGAATATACTCTATATGTGTATGGCATGTCTATGTAACGTCTATGCTCTTGGCAAATATTTTTTCACATAATATATGTCATATATTTACAATTGTTAAACTATATATTTTTATTTAAAATATTCTTTGTTGAAGACATTGCTGATTAAAATTTACAGAAAATTTCTTGCTTGCAAGACAAGATTTTATTACTTACAATATAAGCTAGTTTCCAAGAATTATACCAGTATATTTTTTTTCTTTTCTTTCAGTGTGTGGCTATTAAAATACATCCTTTGTATTTAATGCTGCCAGCAACTCTCTGCTGCTCCTTTTCGTTCCATCTACCAGTAGGTACTCCACCAAATGCAATTGCTAGTGCCGCGGGACACGTAAAGACAAAAGATTTTATGATTGCTGGTATCGGTCCTAGCATTATCACGCTCATTGTCACTGTAATAGCGTTCTCTACTTGGGGTGAATACGTATTTAACCTATCGGATTTCTCCGAATGGGCCACGTAGCAGTACTTATATAGTATAAACATTCTTTTATTCGGTATATTTCATTATCATTCCGCCAAAGAGCGAAGAATGATCTTCACAACGACAAGAGTACTACTCGCATTATATATTTTTTATTTTCTCGTCTAATCGAGTTTATTTTCTACTTTTTTTTATAAATTCCAAATATTATATATGCAAAGCTTTAAGATAAGAGAGAGAAGTAAACGTAATTATAAAATAATCTCAATGAAAAATATAAATTGTAAAATCGTATCATACCTTATGAATCATAAATGAATCGTAGAGAATTGTCATATTAAACATAATAATGAATGTATATGTTTAGAATTTTAGATTTATATAAAGTGACGTTTTTCATGAAATATTTTATATCTGTTACATTGATAATACTAAGTAAATTCTCAGAGTAATAACAACTTTAAGTTTATAATCATCGCCTTAGTAATTGTAGTCCCAATCAAAAGCTAATGAATATCGATATTATATCAATAAAAGGCTAATGAATATCGATATCCATGTCACAAAAAAGCAATTTATTTGTATGTATTATAGAATATTATACATTTTATGCACTGTACATTATCACTAACATTTGAAATATACAGAATGCTTCATATAACTTATCTGTTATATAAACAATATTAAAGAAAGTTCATCAAACTATAAATGTGATTACACAACAGTATGGAATAAAGCCTTTAACGGTAAAGCTGAATTTTAAGAGGACCCTAAAGCTGTTTGCATTACCGAATAAACCATATAATTTTTGTATAACAATCACTTTTTTCCTCTTTTACAGATTCAAAAATCCCTTCCCAAAATTAAAGTATACGCATTAATACGTATCTGTGAGATAAAGTTTATGCCGAGAACGATAAAAAATTTCGAAATTGAGATCTTTACCATTTCTTAGTCCAATATGGTGCTCTAAAACTGTCACATTGTGAAACAATTTTTTTATATATAAAAAAAGTGCATTTTCCTCATTTTGTCAACTATAATTAGTTGTAACATTTATATACAATTTTTTATAAATATACAACTTTACAAATATTTTCTAGAAATGTAAAAGTATACATAAGAATCACTTAAAAATTTGTATATACTTGTAAGTAATGAAAATTAACTCAGGATACGAAAAACCCATTATGTGATGTCAAAAACGATCACGTATATTATGGGTTAAAATACATAATATATTCTGTATACATGTTCTGTATATATATTCTGTATACATGTTCATAGTCATTAAAAGAATTACAAATATTTCATATCGTTTGTAATAATTTTAAATTTATGAACAGTCGGATTCGTAGCTTATTTATGGACTTGATTTTTTAAATTTGTAATAAACAGACAGTTAATAGGCTCGTAGCCTTTAATTTATTTATTCGAATTATAAATATATTAAAATTTATATTGTAATTTTACTCACCATCCACGTTAAAATCATGACTGATATTTTCCGTTTTTTCTGCCATTTCACCGAGGTTTTACGAAGAGAATAAAGTCAGGAAACACTTAACTCAATAAAAGTGTCTCACACTTTAATAAATTATATTAACGAAATTGAAAAAATGTATCCGCAAGTTCACTAACAAAATAAGGTTAAAACAATTTCCGAATTTTATATTTCGTTCCATTAAAAACAGTATAACCTACAAATGACAGTTTAACTACAGCATCTCAAAAATGAACAAAATAAAACTTATTCGACACACTTTTGCATGAAACGAAAGAATTTAGCATAAATAAACGTCTCTGCGCCAAAAACCGAGATTAAAAATTTACGACTATTGAGGTTAGGAAATATATCACAGCTGCAAAATATACTAGGCGGAGCTGTTCTTTTTAACTGAACTTCTTGTGCGGTTCACCTTTTCTCTCCAGCGTGGAGAGAAAAGGAAGGAAGATGAACCGTGTAGCACTTTAGCTAAAAAGAACAGATCTAGTGCAACACGCATGGACCGGTCACATTTATGGCTATATGCGCATGCGTTTTTCTCGCTACAGTAGAGTGCACGAAATTTGAACTTAATGTTTTTAAGCAAGTTCACTTTAAGCAAGAAATACTCATTAAAAAACGTACTTTAAAAGACCCTGCTCTGTCCTTGCTGTGTGTGAAAAGTTATTGTAAACTGGAATCGTTCATTTACAAAAAAAAAAAAAGGAATTGACTTTGGTTTTACAAGGAAACGCACGCTCTTATTTCTGCCAGATTCTTTCATTTCATGCAAAAAAATATATCGCGTCGAATAAGTCTAATTTTATTAATTTTTGAGATGCTGTAGCTAAATTGTACAATTACTGTTTTTTTTTTCGAGTTACTTTAAATTTTAACAGTCACGCAAACTTTCGTAAAACCAGCTAGCTGTCTTTATAATAATTTCTCGTCGGTGTATCATGCAATACACTGTACATTATCTCGCAAGGAATAACATTAATAGCGCGGTTATAACGTAAAACGTTACCATTAGTGTCATGATAATTTGTTAACGCTGTCTGCAGCTCCGTAAACAGCTTGTAGTACTAAATAGCACGAATACCGTCTCCTCGAACGCACCCAATTTATGTCACCGTATACACAAAAGTGTTTAATAATTTTGCAATTGGAAAGGACACCTATATATAGTCTATTGTATTTATAAGCGTTTGTGAAATTCAGTAGAAAAGAATGTGATTGCGCATATTTTTATAAAATGCATGAGAAGGAAAAGTAATGTGAGAAAATAAATAACATATCAATTGAAAATATATTATATTGTGTATTTAATGTTTAGCTAATATTACCAGCGTAACGATCTCACATAAGTTTTGACTTTATCCGCAACACAGCCTAGTTTCATTACTCAAAATATATTTGTATATTATTAAACATATTTTAACATGCTTTGATTATAATATTTATATTATCAATTTCTTTGTATCTTCTCCATAACACATTAATAATTATGCTCATCAAATAAATTAACGTAAATTAAATACGTAAAAATAATTGTATTTCAAAATATAAGACATTAAAATTACAAAAGCATTTATGAACGTTAGTCCATAATGACTAATTTAACAATAATAAATTTTATTTACATCTCACTTCTAATTTTTAAATTGTTTCTTTGCCCGTTTGTGTTTTTTGAAGTATCAAATTAAATATTAGAGATCAAATATGAAAATAGCAAGCAAAAAGAATAGAAAAAAGTAACTTAGGGGTAAAGTATTCCTGAATTTATCAAGTTAGATTTCAAAATTATTACTCTATAACTGACGATAATTTCTGTGCAAAAGTGGACTGAATTTTTGGTGCTTTATATATGTATACATACACACTTTAATTATATATTTCGTTGTATCCATTTTAGTGCATTTTTAACATTAGTTAGCGTTACCCTGCTAAGAAAGCTTGCAATTAATTGATATTCTGGCATTGTGCGCCTTCCATAAAAATACTTCGAATGTGTTGGTTTATATGCGTTATGTCTATTGATATCGTGTTTTGTATCAACATGCGATTCATAAGACAAGAGCAAATTTTCTTTCCGTCCTTCACAAAGAACTTTTGTAGTCAAGCACAAAAGCCATTGCATAATCTGTACATGAGATATATAAAAGTTTTGTATTAAATAATTTTGTTAATATAAATACCAGATAAACACTTTATTAATAGATCTATTATGTATATTTGCTGTATGTATTTACCTCATTGCTGGATGGTAATCGTCCTTCACTTTTTTTTAGCCATGAGCTAGGTGCCCATAAATACAATTGCATTACAGTTGCCGCCAATTCGCTATCGAGTCGCTATGCAAGTGTTAAAAAGAAAAGTTTTAATTTTTTTTTTATACAAGACTGCAATTTTAAAACTAGATATTTTTTAGTAAATTGTTGTCTTTTTTACAAACCTTATACACATTTCTTGACAATGCATTTTTTATGACAGTATTGATAATAGGCGGGAGACTGTCTGGCAAAGCAGGAAGCTCGTTTTCAGTATAGTTATAATTATTTAAAACAGCTTTCTCATCCTTTTTGCCATGAAATGGATTTTGCATCCCAAATATTTCATATGCTATAGTTCCTACTGTCCAAAGATCAGCTTTAGTATAATTTATATTAGTAAAAGGACCTGGTTCTGCTGTTATCACCTCTGGTGCCATCAGTGCAATATTACCGCCTTTATCGATATCATGAGAATTATAGGGCAGATATAACCCGTGGGTTTTATCGGCCAGACAACAACCAAAATCTGTCACGACTAGAGACGGAGAATTATCAGTCTCTTCTGACAGATCGAGTAAAATGTTGTCACTTTTCAGATCTCTAATTTGTAAACATTAATATATATATAAAAAAAGAAAAGAATCTAAGATAAATCTCATCGATTTATAGAACAAATATCATTGCATGTAATTAATATAAGATAGCAAAGATAGCAAGATATTCAGTCTTACCGATGTGCTACGCCATTTGCATTCATATGAGCTACTGCTTCTAAAAGCTGAGCGAGCAATAATATTGACACTCTCATATCAACGTTTCGACTTGTTATATATTGTTTCAAAGTGGTGTCATATCTAAAAATAATGCGATATGTTAGATATTGTGAGAATATATTATAAGTGTAATCTTGTCCCATTAAAACAAAATAACCTTTTCATCACCAAAAATAAACTCATATTTCTGCCTGATCCTTGAGGATTAATTCTGCTTGGTAAAGCATCAGGGTACATTCTCCAAGAACCAGGTAATACTGGTATCATGTCAGCAAAAACATAATACATTGCTACAATGTTTGGATGAGATGGTAGTACTACTTTATTTTCTGTTAATTTTTGTTCCCAAATAGTCAAGTTATCATTTCTATAATGTTTCCTAGCTGGTACTGTCTCCCTATACATGGCATTTAGAATAGCAGCAGCATTGGATTCTGCATCATAATTGAACATCATTTTTATAGCTAATGGAAACTCATTTGCATCTTTTGTTTCAACTTCAATATCCATTGAATCATCTTCATCCCACGTGTTTACAAATCGTGCTGCATATACAGCAGCAGAACAACCTTTAGCAATTATAGGTCCCATTACAAAATTTTGTAAAGTTACAGTATTCTCATCAGTATGAACGGTTTGATAGTCTTTAGGCATATAATTCCATTGTAATTTTGAAACTGCTTCCTGAATATAATATATCTTAGATTACATTTCATAAGCTAAGAATGGTAACATAACATTTCTGTATTATATTAGTGATAACATATTTGTGAAAAAAGCTATATCTCAGTATTTGCATTTACCCGAATTTCCCAACATACTCCTTCCAGTTCGTCATCCTTTGTCAATATCCCTGTACCTGACGCTAATGATATACCAACAAGAGCAAAAAATGGCGCAGAATCACCAAAAACAAGTCTACTCGCTGTACGTCTTCGTAAATCTGCTGCAAGACTGTTGGTTACCCTTTTCAAAATATTGTCAACAAAGATACGCCGAGCATGTGTTCCCAAATAACCAAGATGTCTTCTTGTATTCCATACATTGCCACCAGTTTGAAAAAGACCACTGTTTTGGGATTTGTCTGTCATAAACATAAACATAAAACTGTCATATACAAATTAACATATTTTCATTGGATCAGATGTTACTAATAGCATACAAAATAGTTACAGATCAAAGACAAAGCAAAATGATGTTATACAATAGAAAATAAAATATTGACAAATCATCAATGTTTATTACAAAAAATCAGTTTACAATGATGCTATTTTATCATAATCATTCATGCTCTAATAGATAGGGTTATACCATATCTGAATCACAACAAGAATATATGTATATATATATATACTTTTTTAAAAAAAATTATTCAAAGATGGAAGAGTATAATTTTTTAAATGCATTAAATATAGGTATTTAATAAAATAAAATTTCTAGAATATATAATTTCTATTGACAACTCTTATTAACATAAATTTTATATATATATATTTAATTTTAATTACTAACCAGAAGTGTCACAATCTTAAAAAGAATACACGTACTCTTAAAAGATTACGGCTGACAGCCCTATTTATAGGTAATTAATTTACAATTCAATGGAATCATTTAAAAATGTAAAATATATATATTAATACATCAGAGAAATAAATTTTAGAATGCTATTATTCGTGTTACAACATCATTGAAGTTCATGGGGAAATTTCTTACGAAATCAGGCATAATTTACCTATCTGTGCACCGTGTATCTTGTCGAGATGTTTATTCGTATAGCTTTTCGAATGGAAGCGCTCGTTATTTCGTAATGAGCGCAATGCAATGCGACCATTTTGCACGAGACGATGAACTACTGCCCGCATTGACATTTCTCTGCTTTCTTGGGCTGAGAGAGCCCAGCGGGCAAGCCCGCAAGTCAGGTACGCTTTGAAAACGGATGACGAAGCCGTTGTGAAAGCCTCAATTTTTACGCTGTTTATTTCCTATAATTATGTAATAAAACAAAAACGATACGACGCACTTATGCCACTTATAATTATAACTGCTTAAAACACATCATGTTTGTAACGATATACATGTAAAAAGTATGAAGTCTGCTTTTTATTTCTGCACTAGACTGCACTAGAACACTAGGGACGGTATTCATTTGATCTAAAAGAATAACCCAATCAGCGTCAGCGCGAAGAAAACTTCCAACAGTTGCAAAATAAATGTTCTGTTGAACGCAGCCATTGG